AACCTGGGAATAAAAAATGTCAGTCACAGGTTTTTTGATATGCCCTGAAGTTTGTCAGGGATTTATTTGCAAAAAACTTTGTAGTAAGGGCGAGTCAGCTGTCTTGCTGAATACAACATTAAATATTAAGGAATACATGATGCAGCTCTTCTATGTTTTACATTTTCTTAATCAGTATTTCTAAGTTGATTTTATATTTTAAATGTACTCTTAAGCCTTCATAAAGTAATAATTCCAGATTACTACATATTTAACTCACTGATACAAAGGCATTATTTTAAATTAATCAGTCACAGAGGTTTAGTGTATTCATAACAATGTTCATTGCTTTTAGAAAAAGGGAACACTAATTTACTTTGTGTGAGCTCCATAACAATAGTCATGTTTATGAAATTCCACCTACTTTAAAAAATAACAAGAGTACTTGTGGCACCTTAGAGACTAACCAATTTGGTGCCACAAGTACTCCTTTTCTTTTTGCGAATACAGACTAACACGGCTGCTACTCTGAAACCTTTAAAAAATATGTTTCCAAAGATTTTAGGCATAACAAAGGATTTTATATCTTACTCGGTACTGATTTTTCTTGAGGGTTCTTTTAAAACTAGTTCATCAGATACTCAGAAGTGAAGAAAGGGAAACTCATTGTCCAACTATCTAGAAGGAAAGGGGTGTTGTTCCTTTAAGGGCTCTCTTCAATGGGGGACGTGGGGAGGGGGAAAGAAAGGGCTGGACAGAAAGGACAAGAAGACTTTGGAAGCAAGCTTTTTTTACTATAGTAATTAAAATGAAAATGTGTATTTTAGATAAGGGTGATCTTTTGAAGGATTTATTTAAAAAACTATATGTCTGAAGATCCAAGCATTTGAGGCTAAAGATGATTGTGCATCTAAAAATCTACGCAAAGATTTTTTTAGAGATGTGATTTTATAATCTTCACCAACTCACTAATGAAATATTTTTAAAGCAAATTTTAAACTAAGGTCCTGTAGACTAACGTGTTCTGAGTAAATATTACAGTAATGCACAACTGTTTTTGTCAGTAAATTCAGAAACTGACAGTATATACCTGAGGGTTGGCAAATGCCAGTTAAATGGCTTATTACCACTTGAATGGCTCTTTAACAGTTTCAGTGTTTTGCTAATAGGTCTGGAAGGGGAAGGCTTTTTCACTTTTAATTTACTAGATCCCCTCTGGAGTAAGAATCACCAGGCTGCAGCAGCTAACTGTGGAAGCCTGCGGGAAGGGTCAGAACAAGGATAAGGAAGCGCTGGGAGGGTGCGTATGCCTAAGGACAGCCCTCAGCTGACATTTGGAATGTTTTCTTTGCTACCACAAGAGCTAAAAATGTATATACGATATATGTACATCATGTGGGGCCACAAAAATACGTCAAGTGGACCAGATCTGGCCCATAGGCTGGGTGTTTGACACCCCTACTACAGAGGGAGGAGATTAGACAGGGAAAAGATAAATCATATGACTAACATGATAAAATACATTTGCAGTTCTTCCCATTATTATTTTCAGTTTAAAGAAAATATCATATGGATATACTCTCCCTCCAGTCTTTGTGCAAAATCTTCACTGGCATCAGAGAGAGCTTTGCATGAAGATCCAGGCTAGAAAATAGACCATGCATTGTAATGTAATGAAAATATCATATGGATATACTCTCATATTTTATACTCTCTCACTTTTCATATCAATGAAAATATCATATGGATATACTCTCCCTCCAGTCTTTGTGCAAAATCTTCACTGGCATCAGAGATAGTTTTTGCATGAAGATCCAGGCTAGAAAATAGACCATGCATTGTAATGTATCAGGTTTCAAGAGGTTTCAGTCAGTGGTGGAACGTATAAGAGTTCTATGACCCTCCAAGCTTTCACAAATATTGGCTTTTTAACTTTTTGATCATAGATAGGCTATTATGGAAAAGGTACTGAGACACTGGTACATTTTTTTCTCGTGATTTAGTGTACTAAATGTGCAGATGCTGGGAGCCCTCCTTTCTGGAGCTTACGGCAGGGTTGGAGCTTACATTACTGACTTTTTATTAAAGGTCAACAGAATTGTTGACAATACAAATGATTTTGTTATGTAATTATTAAAAGGGAGCATGACAAATACACAGGCATAGCGGAACCAGTATGGGTTTTGAGTTACAATAAATATGTAAAAGTCACATCGAGGATTCGCCCCCCCCCCATTACTTCATTTCATTTGTCCCACCTTTCATCAAATGATTAGCTAAACTGTATATGATACACATTGATTCAATAATTACTGTGCAATATGCTTTATTTTGGGGGGGGGGAGGGATCCAGAAACTATGAGACAGTGCCATTGGAAATAGTTATTATGGTAGATAGGAACTTGCATGACCTCTACTAGGTTATCTCTTCATAACTTTGTAAGTCAGTATTGCTATCGCTGTAGTCCTTTTTGAAGGTGAATAATTACATTTTTGTGATCTTGCAAGTTGTTACAATAGAACAGAAATTCCCATTTTCCTTTCCTCTCCTGTTTTCTGTAAAATAACAAAATTGCAGCATGGAATATAAATGCTAAGTGGAATCTTTCATTCTTTTATTTTCATTGTAAGAATGCAGTGAGATTAAGGATGTAATATCGGTCTCATTAACTGCAGTGGGGTCAGTATTTCACCCTAAGCATTTTCTTGAAGAAGTATATACCTACATGCCACTTATGGACCATATAATCAGTGGGTATTCTTCCATGCTCGTATATGATTTCATACATGGAATGTGGGTGATGATTATTATTTCACTAAAGCAGGGCTTCAGGCATGAGATAAGTATTGTGCAGCACTGATTGCTGAAGCTGTGATGTCATACCCCAACAGATCACCTGTCAGAGACATTCTTTTTAGGAATTATGGTGGTGATTCTCACTTATGCAGAGTGCCTGTTCGTGTTAGGCAATTTAGGGCTAAATTCTTACTTAGCCCTTAGCTTTAACAGAGTGATGGGACTTTAGGGATAAATTCTGGGTTGGTTTTCCAAGGTAGTATGGCTGGGTGAGTAAGTGGCAGCAGAGCTTCAGGGGCTGAGTGCAGGTTTCTTGAGCTATTCTTCTTGTGCAGGGAATGGGGAGAGATGGGGAAATTGGGAATACTGAACTCGGCAGAATTCTTTTGTTGCTGGTCCAGAAATGAACAATATCTGCTAAAGAAGAGCTTAGCCCACTGTGCCGCCCACACCACTTTCCCGTATCATCTTGGGGGTAATGGATGCCACTGGGCATCTTAGCTAGTCTACCTGTCTACCATTCAGTGGCATTCTAAGTAATCATTTTTCTTGTCTCCTGCATGAGTAGGCTGATTTATGCATCTCCCCCAATGCATCTCGAAAACAAAATATAGCTTTTAGTAAGATTAGATTAGTGTATCCCTGCAACAGGGAGGCCTGCCCCTTTTAGGGCCTGTTGTCAGCCTGCACTGTTCCCTTATCAGCCCCAGCTGGGAAAGGGTCAGATGGTGTCTATGAAGGACTGAGAAATCAGTTAGATGAGAGCTGCAGGAAGGAGGTTGGCTCCTGTGCCAGGTCCTGAAGCAGAGAGAGTCACAAAGGGAAAGGCCTCTGGGACCCTGCAGCTAGTCAGGGGACTAGTTTTCTTTTGTGTTTGAATTAATAAACCAGATCCTGAAGGAAGGCCTTGAAAGAGAGTTGGTTGTGGCACATGACTAATCTGCTAGCCCTTCCTGGGCTGGGGGAGGTATGCCAGCAGCCTACAATCCCTCTTTCAGTCTACCTCTACTTAACATGTATTCCTTAAACCCTCTCAATTGTGAAACGTGTCTGCACACAGCTGATCAATTTCTTGGTCAGTCACATGAAAATAATTCAAGCTCACCTATAAAAATGCAAGATGGAAGCCTTACTAAAAAAAGGAGTTTTAGTAAAACCTCATTCGATTTTCCATTAGGTCTTACCCAAAATGGATAGACACTGTGGTAATCAAGGCCTTTATAGTGGAGAAAATGCTCCACACTATTAATAAAAGAAAACTGATTTCGCCACTGTTTTTCTCAAAAGATCAAATCGTGTAGGTGGAAGACTGAAGAATGCTACCATAAAGAGTCAAGCTATAATACAGGGGTCTCAAACACGCAGCCCACGGGGTTATTTTCTGCAGCCCACCAACCCCCCATGGCACCTCCGTCCCCCCAGCATTTACCTAGAGCGGCTCTGGCCCGGCCTGCACCGGGGGCAGGGCAGACTCCCTGCCTGCCTACCCTGCCCCCGCGCCACTCCGGGAAGCAGCTGGGACCTGGGGGGCACAGGGGTCTGTGTGTTGCCCTGGCCGCTCCTCCAGGTACCTCCCCTGAAGCTCCCATTGGCCGGGAACGGGGAACCGCGGCCAATGGGAGCTTCGGGAGCGGTACCTGGAGGTGCGGCCAGGGCAACACACAGACCCCTGTGCCCCTACTCCCCCAGGTCCCAGCCGCTTCCCCGTTCCCAGCCAATTGGAGCTTCGGGAAAGGTACCTGGAGGAGCAGCCAGGGCAACACACAGACCCCTGTGCCCCCCAGGTCCCAGCCACTTCCTGGAACGGCGTGGGGGTAGGGCAGGCAGGCAGGGTGCCTGCCCTGCCCCCAGTGCGCACCGGGCTGGACCTGCCCCCCAAAGCCCTCCTGCAGCTGAACCCCCTGCTGCACCCCACAGCCCTCCTGCACCCCGACCCCCTGCCCTAAGCCCCGTGCTGCACCCCTCCTGCACCCCAACCCCCTGCCCTGAGCCCCCTGCCGCACCCTGTGCCCCTCCTGCACCCCCTGGGGGCAGGGAGGGGGCGGAGTTGCGGTGGGGATTTCGGGGAAGAGGTTGGAATGGGGGCAGGGAGGGGGTGGGAAGAGGCGGGGCAGGGGTGGGGCCTCACGGAAGGGGTGGAGTGGGGGCGGGGCCAGGGCAGCGGGGGAGGGGGGTCAGTGGCACGGCCCTTGGGCCAATGTACTAGTCCTCATGTGGCCCTTGTGGTCATTTGAGTTTGAGACCCCTGCTATAACACAAAAAATCCTGATCACAACTAAAGTAATTTTTAAGGTTTTGACCAATGAATAGAATGATTTGATATTATGCAGCTGACTGCTGCATAACTTCTACTATTGTCTTCTTCATAAACCAGATGTTTTAAGGGCCTTTCATGTAGACTGATAACAGTGTTTGTGTAAAAAGTAACTGAGTGTTGTAGTTGTCAGATTATCCAAGAAAGTAATACTTTGGAAAAAGAGCGATGAGGACATGAAAAAACTTGCTTAGTGAGATAGTTCTTTTTTATTTAATTATTATTCTCTTTGCAACTGTGCTGGTTTAAGTCTTAAGCATTCTGTCATTCTGTGAGTTCACAGTTTTGTTTTTTCATGAGGGAGTGGATGGCTCAGGTCACTGGTTGTGATTATACTGTCATCTCTGAACTGTTGGTTCACATGCAGCCTAGATTATTAGGAAATTTAAAGCTGATGGCCTACTATGTGAAATGAATTGGTAGTACCTGTCAATTTCCTAGTGGCTAAGCAATCACAATTGGTTCCAATCACTGCCCTCACTGGCAGTCTCAGAAGAGAAGCCAAGGAGTGAATGGGCATGGAGACTGAATTGCCTTCTCATCCCTAAAGATAGATTCTTCAGAACAAATTTGAGGTTTATTGGTGGAGTAAGGAATTCTTTTGCTGCTGTTGCTTTACTTGTTCTGTGCCTAAATAATGGCTGCTAGTATCCACCCAGAGCCATCAGTCCAGCACCTCTTACAAACTAAATAAGTTCCATTTTTAAGCAGAAAAGTTTACAACCTTGTATGCCAACGGGATTTACAAAAAGAAAAGGAGCACTTGTGGCACCTTAGAGTACTCCTTTTCTTTTTGCAAATACAGACTAACACGGCTGTTACTCTGAAACAGGATTTACATTTCTCAACCTTTTGCCAAGGCCCTCCAGCAGAGAGGAAGAAGTGGGGACCTGATGTTTCTCATATAACAAACAAACCAAAACACATTTTTGGTGATAGGGGCCCAGATACCATGGTGCTGGGCATAGTATAGATGGATACCCTTCATACATAATAAATGGACAGTAAAAGGCAAAATTCATGTATATTTTTGGTTGTTAACCTTGAGCACAGACCGTATTGCAGTGAGTGGCTAATAGGATATGTAAAGACATGTAGCACATTACCACCCAGTCCTGAAATCTTTACTCACACAAGTAGTTCTTACTCACATAGGACTTGATTGTGCACAGTTGCACTGCCCCACAAATAGTCCAAAGAACAAACTGTGACTCAGTGTCATAGTTCCTCCCTTTTGTACTTGTTCTGAGGAAAGAATAAGTTACTTCACCCTTCTTCATAAAGCAATTTCCTCCCTGCTGTGCATCTAACCAGCTGCTGTGGGCTGCAAGCTGGGAAATTGGAGCCATGGCTCCTTCCAAGGCCCCTTTCTGCCCTCTCACTCGTCACCCTTGCTCTCCTCCCCACAGCCTGAATCACTATCTGAACAGCTGAGCACAAGAATAAGGAGGGTCTTACTTTCCTGTGGGGCTGACTAAGAGCTGTGACAAACTAGCCCATTAGCACTTCTGTTGAAGTCAGTGCTCTTTCCCCCATTTGAGCCTCTTAACAAAAGTATCTACTTGATACATCATGCTGTTTTTTATTAAATACATTGCAATTGTATCTGGATGACAAGCCTCATATACCCAGTTACAATATGGAATTCTTTCCACCTGAATACTTTAATATCTTTTACTGAAATAATTGTAATACCCTTGGCAATGACAATATTTGAACTAGCTTTACTTTAGTGAAAGATCAACAATAACAAAGTGCAAGCTAAATGAATTCAAAGCTCTGCTTCAAAATCTGTGGTACAATATGGCCCAGAATTATTAATGTGATTCAGTTTAGCCCTAATTCATTTTTAAAATACTCTGTTCACTGGGAAAGCTTCCTATTAGAGGAAATTTAAATCTTATTAAAGATTTAGACTGTATTATTAACATATGTTTTCCTTCCAAGTTTCATGTTGCAGGGAGTTAGTACGGTTGCATTTTATCTTTAGGCATCAGAGTTCAAATTCTGCCTTGCACAAGTGAATACGAGTTTGGTCTCAACCTAGACCCTGACCTTGCAACAGGTGGACCCAGGGGCCATTGTTTTCATTTTGATTCAATTCATAATCCTCATTTGTCTCTGCTCCAAAGAGTTTACACTTCAAAGAAACTAATGCAAGGTCTACTTTTTTTATGGTTCTTTGGGTAGGAGACAGAAATTTCTTGGGGACTGATCCAAGACTTTGAAACTCACTTCTGCGGAAACTAAGAATGACCACGAACTTCATCACTTTCCATTCCAAATGCAAAATGCAGTTCTTTTCCCTAGCATTCAAACATGAGAAGCTCATAATAAATCAGACACAAGAAAACAAAACTACACAAGCTTCTTTCTCCTCCAGGGAGAGGAATGGAGAAGGAACCCCTTGCTAGTCACATTCCTTAATGCATCAAGGGAAGATGCTCAGATACCGCAATGATGGGTGTGGTATAAGAACAGGAAAAGAACAGAACAGTGCCTGAATATTACTGCAGGTGTTGGAAATCAAACTAGTTAAAACCAGTGCAAACCACTAATGCAGACACATTTAAACCATTTTAATGCTTGCTTTAAATCAGTTTAGCTTAATTCAGTAATTTATTGACAAAAACTAAACAAATTTAAGAAAGAGTTAAACTGGTTTGAGTGTGTGTGTGTGTGTGTGGGGGGGGGGGTTAATTAGGGCTTTGCACCAGTTTAACTAGATGGAATTAACAATTGCACTAGTTTAACTAAACTGATTTTCTGTCCTGATAAGCCAAGCCTGAGAGAAACTACATAATACAGGCCGGATGTTCAGCAGTGATGAGCCCCCACAACTGGAGTTGGAGTACCTGAAAGATGATAATGGGGCTATACTCCCCGCCCTGTTATGCTTGGCTCCATTCACTTGCCGGGGTATGGAGGCAAGGAAAGGATATGGGTGGGTTGGTTGGTTGGGTTTTTTTTTTTTTTTTTGCTTAATCTTCAACTCGGTTTAATCTAATGTTTCCATACTGGTTGGGGGGAAACTATTTGTCATTTGTACTTCAACAAAACAAGGATGTTAAGGTCAAACCTCACTCCTGACACATTTCCTTTAGCGGAGGGCGGTGGGCTCGGAGACATTCTTGGGAGCTGCGAGGAGAAAGAGTTGGCTGGGGTCGAGCTTGGTTTCAGCTTGAGAATCCAGTCCTCCCCCACTTCACAGTGGGAAGGGAAGATGCGTGGAGCGATTCCCCTGTGCGTCCTCCTGCACGCCAGCTCTGTGCTGTGCGGTGCCGAGCAGCCCCGCGGGAACCACACTTGGTGCGAAGGCTCTGGCGCCTGCTACAGTGTCCACCTCGCCCAAGTGCCCTTCGGCAGAGCCCAGGAGGCCTGCGCTCTGCGCGGGGGAGCGCTGAGCACGGCCAGCGGGGAGGCAGAGGTGCGGGCCATCCTCGCCCTGCTGCGAGTGGTTGCGGCCGGGCCCGGCTCCTGGGTGTTCTGGCTCGGGCTGGTCAGGAGAGCGCCGCAATGCACCCAGGTGGAACGGCCGCTGCGGGGCTTCTCCTGGCTGGCGGGCACCCAGCAGGCGCTGCAGGGAGAGCCCGAGGAGTTGGACAAGTGGGTGAAAGAGCCGAGCAGGTCGTGCACCACCCGGCGGTGCGCGGGGCTGCAGGTCACTGCGGGGCGCCAGGACCTGGAGCCCTGGGGCTGGAGGGAGCGGACCTGCAAGAACAGCACCACGCAGGGCTACGTGTGTAAGTACCCCTACAACGGCACCTGCCCCGCTCCGCGGCCCCAGGGCGCCCGCAGCCTCCTCTTCTCGCTCCCTTACCAGCTGCACAGCGCCGCCCTGGACTTCAGCCCCCCGGGCACTGAGCTCGTGGTGGCCTGCCCCGGGCCCCAGGGAGACGTGCGGCTGCGCTGCGAGCTGGGGCAGGGCGGCTACAGCTGGACGGGCGCTGGGGAGCAGCTGTGCCCTTGCCCCTCCGGGTACCGGAGCCCCGGCACTGGAGCCTGCCTGGAGCCCGGAGACTGCACCAGCGCCCAGGGCGCTTTCCTCTGCGTGTGCGCCCAGGGCTTCCTCCTGGGGGCCGACAAGAAATCCTGTGTGCGCCCCGGGCACACTGGGGGCTCGGCCACAGCGGCACCCCACCCGACCCTGTCTGCGGGGGGGACTCTCCCCAGCAGCAGCTCGGGTGCGCCTCCCCCCCCCTCCAGCCCTCAGCCAAGCACAGCTGGGGAGGTAAAGTCCTCGTCCTCCCCCACCTATGTCTTCATCCTGGTGGCCACGGCTGTGGTGACGGTGGTGATCCTGGTCGGGGCCGTGCTGGGGGTCTTCAAACTCTGCTTCATGAAGAGCCCCTCCTCGGCTAGCCGGGACGGCAGGGAGCCGGCTCCCGCAGCGGCCGCAGAGAGTGATGCGGAGGCCACCAGCACCAGTTCCGAGAATTCCCTGGAGGCCCGGGGAGACGCGACAGAGAGATTGCCCGGCGAGCCCAGCCCAGAGGAGGAAGCTCCTCCCGGGAATTAGGAACCTCTAGGGCACAATGGACCCATGGAAGCTTAATTTGAAATGAACCAGCCCTGGCTTCCCTTTCGTGTGAGTGAGCCCAGGCTGAGCTGGCAGCTCCCACTCATTTGGAGGGAGGCTTCTTCGTGTCAAGGCACCTCTCTGCAGAGGAAGGTTTTGGCGATGTTTCAATGAAACCTTGAAAATCTCATCGCCCGGTTTTGTTGTTTTTTAAACGTATTCATGTAAATTGCCACCCAGCTTGGCAGACGTGCCCAGGACAATGCAGTGACAAAGGAAGGATCTGGCTGGGATCTCTGCAACATAGGGCTTGATGTGGCCTTTAATGCATTTATGCTTTAGGGCCAAAAGGTCAGACTTGAGTGCCCAAAGTTAGGCACCCAACTAAATGGCTTGTTTTTCAGGGGTTCTGAGCACCTGAAGCTTCTGGTAATTTCCCTGGGAGTTTTCAATCACATTCTGAAAAGCAGGTCACTTATTTAGGTGACCAAATGTGGGTGATGGGGCCTGAGTTTCAGAAGTGCTGATCATCGGCAGGTCCTGTTGACTTCAACTGGAGTTTGGGTTCATAGCATCTCTGGGAAGCAACCAAGTTTGAAAATGTTGGCCAAGGTGCCCTACAAGTTGTAAATTATCCCTTGATGTAGAATATTTGAGTGGTATTTGGAGGCTTTAATTTTATTTTTAATTGTTTGAACATTTGGAGATGTACACTTCCATAATTTTGAGGGAAACTCAGATCCAAACACTATTTAGACAAACATTTAAAAAAAATGTCTAAGTTCATTGCTGTATTTGGAAAACCATTGAACTGCAGATGGGGAGACAGGCTAATGGGGAATTAATTTTTTATTTCAGTCCATGGAAGAAAAATAACGGATGTTTTAGAATCGAAATCACTGTTTAGTTTGCTTCTTCATAAAATATGCAGTTTTGTATTGTAGTTGAGCAACAAAATATTCTGCACAAATGATTGCACAGAATATTTTGTTGTTCAACTACAACTCCCATCTTTCTATTAAAGTGTTTAGATTTAATGCAGTTTGATGCAAAACTTCCTGAGTGCAAATAAGCCACCCCCATGATACCCAGAGTTGCACATCCAGAGTGTTGCCAAATTTTTCAGGTTAGAACAGTGAACATGAGTCTAAATATAGCCCAAATTCTTCTCTCCTTCCTCATATGAGTTTGATGTGTTGATTTCAATGGGCTTCCCCTGGGAGTAAAGAATGGAAGGTTTGCCCTCCGTGCATCCTTCCTAGGTGATGCAATCCCTTTGTTTGTGATTTCCTTTCAGAAGTCCCATAAATCAGTTTTCAGTCTGGGCACAGAACTTACTTTTTTTGCAATTCAAAATGCTGATACTCTCTTCCAATTATGGCATTGTGGATTCTCAGTTAAGGTTAGGGTGACCAGGCAGCAAGTGTGAAAAATCGGGACGGGGGTGGGGAGTAGGAGGAGCCTATATAAGAAAAAGACCCCAAAATCAGGACTGTCCCTATAAAATCAGGACATCTGGTCACCCTAGTTAGGGTATTAATGGTAAGTATTGATTTGAAGTCTTCTGAGTGCAATGAGAGACAGATAAACTGGATTGCCACCAAACCTGTTCCACAGAAAACCTTTTGTTCATTTAAAAGAAGCAAGAGATTGGAAAAGTCTGTTTCTTAAACATTTCCGACACTTTTTTTCCTATCCGGACCTGGCCTTAACTCCCTCTTTCCCTCTGCCCCCCTCTTTCCTAATTTTGAGGATTTGATTTCAAAAACAAAGTAAATTCCCAGACTTTTTTCATGCAAAGATAGCTATGAAAATGTACACCAATGTAAAGTGATGCTATGGCTAAAGTTTGCCACAGTGATTTTTTTCCTAAAGATCATGAAATATTTGGAGTACCCTCTACCTCAACCCACATCTGTCTAATCTTTTTGACCTGTGAAAAGGGTCCTTTGATTTTTGGCAGGGGAATTGCAGCCCAATTCATATTTGTGTGGTGCAGTGCTGCACCAACCTTTGCTGATGGCTCTAGGTCCACCATAAGCTCCTTCCGAGCTGGCTACATATTCTAATACAGCGGTTCTCAAACTGTGAGTCAGTACCCCAAAGTGGGTCGCAATCCCATGTTAATGAGATACATTTGGAGTGCCTCAAAGAATTGTCTCATTGGCCTGCCCCAGAATCAGAGGTGAACTAGTCTTTACAAAACAAACTGTCTCCTAATTTTCATATTTTATAATATATTTGCAGTTATACTTTACAAAGAGAAATACTTTTCATCTCAAATATAAGCCATCCAGGAGGGTTGATTCTGTATTCAGATGTGCATATTTCTGAAAAGTGACTAATAGGTCATATGCGGCTTTCAGTCATTGCACAATTCCCATTGTCAGGAATGTGAGTAACCAGTGTAGACTTGGAAGCAGTATATATTGGGCTTTCTGTTGGTCCACACATTGAACTCAGGTCTTTTGCATTCAACCATATTTCTAAAATGGGCTATTTAAGTCACTTGGAGCTTTGGGGAAACTCTTGCTTGCCTTATTTTTGCAAAGTTTTTAACACAAAATCCTCATCTCTTTCCCATTTCAGACATTGGAATTCCAAAAAGGGCTATGAAACTGCTTAAACAGTTTTGTCTTTTCAAGACTAAATTATTGTAATTCTTTGTTTCCAGGAACCTTGTACACACATGGCTGTATTCTGAGAGGTGTTAGGCACCTGCAATTCCCTTTCACTTTAATTTGGAGTTGCAGGTGTTCAGCACTTCTTAGGATTTGACTCAGAGGATGTAACTTATTCAAAATGCATGGAGTCTGGCATCACCCAGAGACATGAATGTGTGGGCCACTAGATAATTTATACATTTTGGGGTGGGTTGGTTTGCCTGATAATGGTCATTATAAGCCTAAAGCTCAAGTTAGTTGTGTGTTTACACAAGTTGCTGGTCAGTGGATGCAAATTCTCAAATTCCATTTACTTCATTGAGAGTATATGGACAGAAGGCAATGTGTGGCCCCAAGAACATAAATTATGAACTAAAGTGAAGTATCTTATTTTCTACATCCTGATCATGGTATTTTATTTGTGAAATTGCTAGAGTTGCAGGGAAGGAAAAGCCACACAAAGGTCTTGCGTCTCCAGATCGAGGAACATAATGAGCCAGGATATCTATTCAGCAAGTCACAATAGGCCAGGTTGCCTCCCTCCCTTTGAAAAACCATGGGAGAGGGGACATGGAAATCTCTGCTGGGTTTTTTCATGGAGAGGGCCTCAAATTGTCCTGCTGGGACAGGGTTTGCCCTGGAGAAAAACCACACCAAAGTTGGCAGATCCTGGGGCATCTGGCTGTACCTACACAGCAGCTCTGGCTCCACAGGTCCCCACTCCTTGGCACTGTGGCTTTACTGAAGCTGGACTACCATGGGGTCCAATGCCACAAAGCTCCAAGGGCCTGGGCCTGGATTAACTTTTCCAGCTAACTTCCATGGGGGGTGGAGGGAGGGCAATGTGCATTTCTCCAGTTACCCTTCCTCTCACTCCCCCACCCCTTGACATGACCCTGTACACACAGGGAGCCCTCCACAAGGTTATTGGTGCGTCTCTTCTTTGCAGAGGAAGGGGAGATCTGAGGTCGGGGGATCCTCCCTTGTGCATGTCTATGGAGGTACAATCTGGCTTTATAGTTAGGTGAAGCTCATGGAGTTCACGGTTTCTTAAAGCTTTCAAAGTATTTTTGCTGTTTACAAAACTAGGTCATACATCTTTTCTTCCCCCGACTTGTAATTTTCTCCTAAGGGAAACTTAATAAATAAAAAGTTGTCCTACCTAAAAGGAAGGTGTTTTATATATCAGAGATGAAAAAAAAACCCTCCAAAAGCAAAGTTAGCATGTGTGGGTACCCTGGATATTGTATATGCTGTATTTATTTTTGCTTTACAATAATTCTCTCTCTCTCTTCCTTTTTTCACATTCTCCCCGTTGTATTTGTTTTCCCTCTGCCTACTTTCTGCTCTGTTTTTACCTTATTATGTCAATGTATTTTTTCTTTAAAAAAATACAAACCCAATAATATTTGAATTTGGTTTGAACCCAAGATGCCTGGATGGACTTGAAATTTGTACTTTGGTACAAAATAAATTCATCCACCTGTGATGCAGATCACATAAATATGGGCGGGGAAGGAGATAAATTTTTTGTTGGCTGGAAATTTCTGGAATGTTTAAAACCCAGAGAACAGATATTTTGGGAGCAGAGGTAAATAGTCTTTGCTTTTCCCCAACGCCCTACATTTAAATTGTTGTCTTCTCAGATGTACAACCAATAAGTGGCTGGTTTGCAACATACAGTTTTTGCACATATAACTGCTAACACAATAACCTCAATGCAATTGTCAGCACTGAAGAAACATGCCTGATCCAGAGTCAATTAAAGTTTTGCCATTCACTTCAATTGGAGCAGAATCAAGTCCATACATTTGGATAAATTCATAAATATATATTAAAACTTCTGAGATGGGCAAACTGTGTATAGTTTTTATTTAACTATCATGTAATACCACATGTGAGAGACCACAATGAAATGGAACTATACATCCAAAATGTGAGAGGGGTGGAGAGATGTCGTGCCCTGGTCCATGCATGTCACTGCAGTAGCATGTGTGTCTCTTGATGGTTTTTGAACATGGCATACGACACTTAAAAGTGGATGTTATTTGAATGATTTTTTGACACATGAAAAATACTACTCCATCGCCTACTAGAATACATATATTGTATTGGGGTTTGTACAGGGTACAAATATATTGTATTGGTCATGTTTATATCATTCAGTGTTTTAAATTATCAGATATATATGACCTATGTTATACAGGTCAGACTAGATGATTTACTTAGTTCCTACCCCAAGGATCTCACAATCTGTCTTTTTGTTCTGTTTCAGAGTAACAGCCGTGTTAGTCTATATTCGCAAAAAGAAAAGGAGAACTTGTGGCACCTTAGAGACTAACCATGCATCCGATGAAGTGAGCTGTAGCTCACGAAAGCTCATGCTCAAATAAATTGGTTAGTCTCTAAGGTGCTACAAGTTCTCCTTTTCTTTTTGTTCTGTGTTTGTACAACACATGACACAATGGGCATATGGTCCATAACTGGGGCATCTAGGTATTATGGTAACACAATAAATAAATAATGGTCCATTTTGACCTTAAAATCTATGAATCTATGTTAAAAAATTGAAGGTCCATATACTTATGTAAGGAATAAATTTGTCCACACCTCTCATCTAGCACAGTGGTCCAAAAAATGCATCCCTTTGCCATCTCTTGAATCTCATTTCTAATCCCTTAATTCCTTCCAAGGTAGTTTAAACAGTTATAGACATATTTTGGGGTGTGTACATTTTGATCATGAATGTATGATGAATATTTGATGATTTAGATTCATCATATAATCAATAACATTTTAATTTTCCAAAAAATGTTTAATAATAATTTAACTACTGAAGGTTTCAGTGTTATGAGAGTAAAGTGAAATCTAAAGGTGGCCAAGGACAAAATTAAAATGCTTCAAAGCATTTTAAAAAACAAACAAACACCGTGTCCTGTTCCCACATACTACAGTTTCCTGAAGATTTAAAAAATGAATAAACTCAAGTTTTCCCCCAGGAAATATAATTTCCCTATCATTTAATTAAGCTTCTTTGTGTTTTAAAACTGCCTTATCTTTCTTAGGCTTTTCATGGAGCTTAATCATTGATACACAATACTTAATTCCTTCTAGATAGAACTGTTGTTTTTATTTCTTAAGGATATAGCCGTTTGTTGATGTTCTAGATAATGCTGCGCTGAGGATGATATTAATACCCTGTTCAGGGGGCAGTACAAAGTCAATATAACACTTAAATCTCACTGAGGCCCTATATTGAGTGCTAGGATTGTGCATGGCCTTGCGCTGGCCCTCGGCTCAGTGCTGATTTTTACCCATAATGCCTATGGTCGGGGGAACCTGTTAGACTGAAACACTTGTGCCCACACACTTGGTTTGTTTTTAAATGTCTTCTTTCTCTCGTAGCTGCAGTTGTAGAAGTTCTGGGGACAAATCAGCATCAGAACCAATTTACAAACAAATAAACATATAATTTGCGAAGAGACTCAGCCAACTATCTGTCCCCCGCCGCACACCACATAAACTTTCCCCATTTGTTGTTTCAAGTGTTTGAACTCATAAGGCCTTGGCCTTCAAATAGATCAAGAGTTCCATTTGCTGATCAAGGAGCAGCACATCTTGTAATATGTTAGAACAGCATGATGTGTTTCCCAGAACATAATTAGCAGGGCTGGTCTGTTGGTCTAATGATAACGTTTTGCCTCATCAGGCTGGAAGTCTGGTTTCTGTTTAGATCTTGCTTTCTCTAGACCAGCAATGAATTTTGTGGAGATAGTATACTCAGCGGCTGTTCAGAAAGCAAGTCCAACACATTGCTCACCACCAACCCTTCACACTACATAATGAGTATCAATGATGGCTCTGAATGAACTCTCCTCCAGCCCTACTTAGCCAGTAAGATTGATGGAAGACCCTTAGCACTGAAGTCAAAACCACCCTTACCTTCCAAAAGAATAAGTAATTAACATAAAATATTTTTCCTCTTCACTAACAAAAAGTGCTTATTCCCTCTCTTTGTTATATCATGAAATTAAAAAGGATTAAAACACAGTAAGCAACATAAGCATTACCCTATTTGTATTAATTGTGCATCATAGTCTAATTTGTTCTATACTTTAATTACTTTAGTTTAATAGCCAATTCTTTAATGTATTCATCGCAAATTCCCTTTTTCTTACCTTACAAATCAGTGGGGTGGGAGGAGGTATTGTTTCATGATTTCTGTGTGTATATAAAGTCTGCTGCAGTTTCCACGGTAAACATCTGATGAAGTGAGCTGTAGCTCACGAAAGCTCATGCTCAAATAAATTGGTTAGTCTCTAAGGTGCCACAAGTACTCCTTTTCTTTTTGCGAATACAGACTAACACGGCTGTTCCTCTGAAACCAGATAGAGACAGCGACCAGGGATTGCCCTGCACATCAGACAGAGATTGCTAACACTGCTTTCAAAAATTCTGAACATAACTTATCTTGCTGTTTTACAAATTCAGTCTAGAACTCTCAAAAGAACCCCTTGCTGGTACATCAGAGCAAGACAGGTTTGCTGGAGTAAAATACTTTATCTTATGTTTGGAATGTGCCTTCCTTTTGTGTGTTAAAAGATTGAAGTGGCCACATGTTTAGCTAGATTTAAAAAGAAGATTGCAATGCTCTTTCTATACTCCCTAAATAACTTTGGGAAAGTGGGAATAGTTTATGTAAATTGAATAGTACCTGTGCAGGAACAGTAGTCTCATGCTACATATAGTCCATCATAATGAAATATAATATATTCAGCTCTTCTAGATAAAATACTCACTCCTATGATCTAGCTAACAGACCATAAGTGATACACACTTTTGATAAATATAGGTGTTTGATGAGCTTATCTCCCATTCTTGGGGGTTTCTTCTTTTCATGCTTTTTAATTAATTTTTGGTTTTGAGGAAAGACCCTAGACCAAGTGCTCTTGAAACTGAAATCCTCTATAGATCAGATAAAGCACAGTGGGATCTATTGTAGCCCTTAATGATGAAATTGTGAATTTAGTTCAAGCATGTGGGGAGCAAGACATAAGCCACTTCTGGTTCTTAAAAGAAAGTATATTTGTTTTATTTATATATCACATTACAGGCTTTTTTAAAATAAAGTATTAAATCTCTGAATCTTATGTATGGGTGAGGGGAAGTACAATAGTTTTCCATTCCCATTTTGTTAACATATTAACATTACTTTCTGTATCAAACAAAAATATTGTAAGAAAATTTTCTATTTGAATAATAAAAGGGAAAGAGGCAGGGGCAGAGGGAAAGCCAGAAAGTTGAGATCATAACAGTTTGAAATATTCAAAAAAAAATCAGAGAAGACTAGGATTTCTCTCTCTCGTACTGCTTCTGCCATCTGTTTGGTTTCTAGGCTTTTGTCCTATGGTTTATGGGTACCCAGCAACCTGCTTATGGTAATACTCAGTTCTTAGAAAAAGCTCAGATACTTTGTACCTTTACAAATAACCACTAGCTTTGAAAGCAGCAGTTTCAACACTCATATACTTAACATATTTTATTCAAAAGATAGAGTTCTTTCTCTGGAATTGTGGAGCAAGACTTGCGAAAATAAAAATCCTTTGTCTGAATGTATATTTACAGCATATTTTTCTGCTCACTACACTCACAGTAAGAAAAGGAGTACTTGTGGCACCTTAGAGACTAACCAATTTATTTGAGCATAAGCATAATTGGTTAGTCTCTAAGGTGCCACAAGTACTCTTTTTCTTTTTGCGAATACAGACTAACACGGCTGTTACTCTGAAACCTACACTCACAATGTGATCACTAACTCCAAAGCTGTCTTCGGTGGTTACAAAGGTGCAGCTGAAAGCAGAATTTTGACTCCTTTGTCTAACGTGAATGAAGTTTCAATAGTTGGTGCAGGAATCCCAAATAATATAAAGTGACTACTGGAAGGTCTTTTTAATGTCCAAATGATGCTCTGTTTCCACATCCAAGCCTTGCCACACAATCCAAAAGACTGTTTTTTGTATCTCTATTAAGAGTTCCTTCCCTGGCCTTGTGTCCCTTCTCTCTCCATTTTGAACTCCGTCTCCTTCCCTTTTCAAGGCTATGTAGCGCTCTGTCCCTGCCTATCTGTGATCACTGGTCATCTGCCACTCCCTTGGTCAGAGTCAACATTCCATCAATTCTGCCTCCTTTCATGTCCCCTTCTCCCCTTTTCTGATACTGCCAATATGCCTGGGATGTTCTCCCTCCAAATTCTTTCTTAACCTTCAATTTCCTCTCAGAACTAGAGTGACCAGACGTCCCGATTTAGGGGCTTTCTCTTACATAGGGCCCTCTTACCCTCTCTCCCCCACCCCCAGTCCTGACTTTTCACACTTGCTATCTAGTCACACGACTCAGAACCTACCTTTCCACTGCAAACAATGATCTTCTCATCCATTCCTTTGAACAATTGAAAACAAATAGAAAAAAATCCCACCAACCTCTCCCCAATCATAATTATAAAAAAGAGGCAACCAGCTAAGAATTAACTTGACATGTACTGTACTATTTAAGTACCCCCATTCTCTGTATTCCCCCCTCCATCTCTTGTGCTGTGATCAGTTTAGATGGTAAACTCTTTGAGGCAGGAACCAAGGGGTAAGAGCCTCAGATGTTGTAAATTAGTGTAGCTCCATTGACATCGATAATTTACATAAGCTGAGGGTCTGGCCCCTTGTCTTTAGGCTGTGAATAAGCAGCTTTTTATATAGGTTTTTAAACAAACAAAAAGCCAAAGGAAGAAACTGCAGAATCTAAGTTATAAAAGACATGTTTTTAAACAGAATGTTGTTCCAGTTCTTCCAAAAGGAATCAGAAACTCTTTAAAGGAGCTATTTTATAATATTTTGAATTTAGCTTAGAATTTATTTATTTTTTGCTCTCCCTGTGGCCTCAGTCAGATCATATGCAAAATAAATCTGCAATGATGCTAGGAAAAGAAAGTGATTAATAGGGTTATTGAGTTTTTTTCTAATCAAAAGATCAGTGCATTCTGCATTTTCCTTTTATCCATGTCTGGTCTCTGCTTGATTATATAATATAGTAGACTCCACAGAGGATTTTATTTTGTGCACTTCATCCAGCTAAAGCTTCCACTGAGCCTTCCACTGGCACTCTGATAAATGATACACCCTTTTTGTTTCATTACAGTGCATTCTAACCAATAAACACCTTGTCTGTCAACTCAGCTAGCATTGTTGCAAACAGGTTCCCTTAGTTTTCAAAGCTAGAGCCTTAAAGCAGCTCTTTCACCCCAACAGGAGATAAGCACTCTATCATCAGTTTGAAGATGGCAGTGGTTAGTCCATACAATGAGTGTAGGGCATGATTTTCAGAAGTGCTGAACACCTGCAGCTCCCACTGATATTGATTAGAGCTGGCGGTGCAATCAGAACCTCTTGAAAATCAAGCCCATAATTTTCAAGTGCTTCCCCTCCAATTCCAAACTAAACACTAGATCAAAAGCATGGTCAGCTATGTAAACTGAGCCAAAGACCACCTGAGGATAGTCCTGGGGTCATCATGGTGGCCATTTAATTCTGATTCAGAAAGCTAGTTATCCCTCTTGATTTTGCAATCACCAAACACTACCAACTTTGGCACGTCCCATTCCACCATGCTTAGGTACTGAAGTAGTTCACAGATAGACTCTGTAATGCAGCTCAGATACCATGGTGATGAGCATGAGTCACATTCTCAAATGCAGAGCGCTGGAGACTGGTGGGGTTGGAAATCAGAGGCTGAAAAATAGTGATTCTTTTTGGAAAACAGAGTGAATTCCTTGATCCTGTTTCTTTTTGCTTGGTTGCTTTTTTATGTTGGTGATATTTTAAGGTACCCATTAAATTACGCTTTGCTTTATTGGGCAAGTGATTTTGCAAAGCCAAGTCTTGCTTGCCTTACTCACCTGGAGGCCAATTGATTTCAGGAAAGTGAACAAGATTTGGCCCAAGCTTTGGAGCTAAAATGTGCATGTTGTTGGAGCCTGGTTGCCACAGTACACCAGACAGGCAAACGGTTGTTCTATTAACATATACTAGAAATATAGACTTTCCTTTTTTAAAATGATTATTTTTTAAAAAAAATCTGTTCCATCTAGGTATGTTGTAGAAATGGCATTTCAGAAATGAATATGTCATATTCAAAAGATTGATACTGTGGCAACTCAGCTCCTCCTGTGGAGGAAATCTATGTTAAGATCCTGCACCCCAGCTGAGTGCCGCCCCTATGGCTCCATCAGGAAAATGGGGTTTATATTCATACACAAAATACTTCAAACCTGGTGGATCCCCATCATTACACATAATGCCCAGAGGATCCACAGGAGGCCCTGCCACCCCTCTAGATGTCTTGTGCCTCTGCATTAATTCTGACTCCTGGCAGCCCAACAGTGCCAGGCTGAAGTTGCCCTCAGACCTATCAGATGTGAGTTCACAGATGATACTGCTCTAGGTTGTATAGTATTTCCTGGGGAGACTTACTGGGGGGTGGGGAACAAGACTTACTCTGAGCCTCCTTTGTGGTGTGTTTGGGTGGAGACAATACTGCAGAGGTGTCTGGCTCTCCTCACAGTACACACCCCTCCTGAGAAAATCAGTGTGCAGAGGGTCCCCTCTGTGTGTGGATCTATGAGACAACACAGGCCATACTTACTCACTTTGTCAAGTCTAAAAGTGCTTTTGAGAAACAGCACTCACATTTTATATGGGCCTTACCCTGCACCACTACTGTCAATGACAAAACTCACACTGAAGTCAATGGTGCAGGGTCAGACTCTGTGCCAACATATACATTAGTATGAAACTTGTGATATGTTAGACAACTAAAAAATATGCAGCAATGCCCTCTTGATGGTTAACAGTATTTATGCTTTTTGTGGGTAAAGTGGGTAATGTATAAATAAAATTATGTAGAGTGCTGGAGAGAAATATTTCAGCTAAATGCTTTCTTCAGTGGTTGCTGAAGACAACAGTTGTTTGAATCCTTTTTATATGAAATTTTAACAAATTTTATTTGAGAATTTGCAAAGCATTTGAAATAATACTTTGTTTTCTTATAAAGAAAAGGAGTACTTGTGGCACCTTAGAGACTAACCAATTTATTTGAGCATAAGCTTTCGTGAGCTGTAGTGAGCTGTAGCTCACGAAAGTTTATGCTCAAATAAATTGGTTAGTCTCTAAGGTGCCACAAGTACTCCTTTTCTTTTTGCGAATACAGACTAACGTGGCTGCTACTCTGAAACCTTTGTTTTCTTATACATTTCACATCAGTTCCAGAAGGCATTTTTTCCCCCTCAGATAGTTATTACTCACTTATTTGGAATAATAACTTTGATTGGACTACCTTTCTTTCCGCTGCAACACTGTAATGATATACAGCTTTTCATCACTTCATTTACCACCAAAGTGTAGCCACATTCAAGGTGAAAAATGGCAGCACCACACCTTAGTTCAGGACAAGCAGTGAAGAATGTTGTATCCAGCTGAAACAACACAGTGATCCTAGCACCATGTTGACTGCTGACAAATTAGTTCAGTAATGAGGAGGAGGAAAGAATACCTTTTATTGTGTAACTAAGCACCCAATACTCCAACACCCTGGGTGGTCTCCCAGCCCAGTATTAGCACAGCTTGACTTTACTTAGCTTGAGAGAACTGAAATCAGAGCACACAAGTTGGTATGTCTGTAGAATTATGTGCATGGGTATCACAAGTTCCAATATCTTTGCATGAAGCCAAAGGAAACAAATAAACAACCTTTGCTTAATGTCTCATCAAAGCTGAGTACCAATTTTGTACTATTTTAAAAAACCTAGTAATTGCAGAAAAACAGTAAAAAGTAGATTGCAGAGTACTGTATAATATATCTGTTTATTAAGCTAACACTGCATTACAGTATTGCTGGGTGAAATGACAGTATAAAAGCACTAGATTGATACCTTTTTAAGGAAACAATGAGCACGATTTGAAATGGAGCTCTAAAAATGTAAACATGGCACCCTGTGGTTTTTGTCTGTTTTAAACAATGCAATGCCTGTCTTCAGTGAAATGTTCCTAAAGACTGTAAGAGAGATTTCTCTCTCTCTTTTTTTTACTATAAATGAAGGTTAAAATTTGCAATGACCTTTAAAATTATTTGAAGGTCCTTTTAAATTGAGTAAAAAGTAAAAGTAAAGTAAAAAGTAAAAGTAAAAAGGAATAAAACTATACAGATTTTAAAGCCTTTCACAAAATGTTTTAATAGGGATGTAACAGCATCCATATTAGCAATTATTTTTTAAATCAAAAGAAGATGAGCCAAAGCCCACTGAAGTCAGTGGGAGAGTTTCCATTCACTTCAATGGGCTATGGATCAGGTCCTTAGAGAGATACTAGAATTTATACATTCACTTGACAATATCTGATGTTTTGGTGGGAGAGATTTGCAAAATGGCCTGATGCTTTTTGCTCCTAAGAAAAGTTCATGCTACAGTTCATCCCGGAACCTTACTGAACCCCCCAAAGAGCTAGACACATTAGTAAGTTAAGTATTAACACTCTTGGGACGCAGTAAGTAATATAGCAATTAGTAGGCAGTGTTTACAGGCGTTTTAGGGAATTATCCTTTTGCTTCCGATCTCCAGTAGTTATTCCTATAATTCACAGTATTGTGCTAGAGAGATGATTTGGTAAAAGTGCGCTAGCGCACTGTCTTTGACATTAGTTCTGTTTTAAGGAACGCAATAAAGAACAGAAAGCAGAATTGCTATTGTCACCATAATCGTTACTGGTATGTCTAGGTTGGGATAATCTTTAAAGGGGGAACAGAAATGTTAGATTTTGCTTTCCACCATCATTTATCCAATAGAAAAGCACTGTTTTTCTATCAGAAAAATATTCTCGATTCTGAAATATGCATGATCAAGGTGCGAATAGAACGGGAAAAGAATTGTTGTGGGGAAACAATGGAAAAAGAAGGCCTATAAAAAGGTTATAATCTTTTTCTCCAGAAGGAGCCTTCTTGAACATCACCCTTTTAAAATGAAAAGGAGTACTTGTGGCACCTTAGAGACTAACCAATTTATTTGAGCATAAGCTTTCATGAGCTACAGCTCACTTCATCGGATGCATTCAGTGGAAAATACAGTGAGGAGATTTATATACACACAGAACATGAAACAATGGGTGTTATCATACACACTGTAAGGAGAGTGATCGCTTAAGGTGAACTATTACCAGCAGGAGAGTGGGGGTTGGGGGGGAACCTTTTGCAGTGATAATCAAGGTGGGCCATTTCCAGCAGTTTGCATAGAGACTGGGAGTGGATGAGTCATTACACAAAGTAAAACTATTTCCCCCCCCCCCCCCATGTTCCTCAGACATTCTTGTCAACTGCTGGAAATGGCCCACCTTGATTATCACTACAAAAAGTTTTCTTTCCCCCCGCCCCCACCACTTTCCTGCTGGTAATAGCTCATCTTAAGTGATCACTCTCCTTACAGTGTGTATGATAACACCCATTTTTTCATGTTCTGTATGTATATAAATCGCCTCACTGTATTTTCCACTGAATGCATCCGATGAAGTGAGCTGTAGCTCAGGAAAGCTTATGCTCAAATAAATTGGTTAGTCTCTAGGGGCCACAAGTACTCCTTTTCTTTTTGCGAATACAGACTAACACAGCTACTACTCTGAAACCTTTTAAAATGCACTCCCTTGTATGAGGCCGCCAAGACTTCAGTACATAGAGTAATGAATTGCTTCCAAGAGAACGTTTTCACGACACAGTAACAAAAAAGAAAATACTGAAATCAAACAATATATTAAGCGCACACATAAAGACAATCAAAATCAAACATATATTGAAGCACCGAGAAGGTAGATTACACTGCTGATACAGGAAACCCCTTTCAGTTTAGGAGCGATGCAAAGTGGGGCTAGGTAATATCTATTATTGAACAGACAGGTGTATGTTTCTGATAAGTATTTTAAAGCCTGATGAAGGATCCGCAATAAACTTTCCTTATTCTATGTGGTTCGAACTGCAAAAGCACCCACACCGACTGTCCTTCACAGCTTGCGTCTCTTTTATTCCCTGGAGGGTTGTTTCACGTTGAGCGTAACACTCACAGGACAATAGCTTCACACTCTAGTGCCCCCTTTAAACTTTATTATTTGCACACCTCCCCGTCCAATACCCTGCTCCATGCGAGTCACGGGGCGGTGTATATCTCTGTGTTATCAGCAGCCTGCTGGGCAGCTCTGAGATAATGAAATAATCGCGTTTCTTTCTTAGGAGGCGTTTTCGTTTCCATTTCCATAGGGACTGACGTTTCCCCTTGAGTGCCACTGAATGCCAAATCTCAATGGAACTCAATTCTAGTGGTTTGCGTCCCCCAACTACCCCCCCCCCCCCCCCCGCGCCCCGTTATCTTTTCACATTCTTACCCGAGAGAAAGAGAGCACTGGAGTTCTGTCCTACTTGCAATATGACTTCATGAGCTTGCCTGCCCCTTTTAGAGGAGCTTTTCTCTCCCTTGTGGCACCTTAGAGACTAACCAATTTATTTGAGCATGAGCTTTCGTGAGCCACAGCTCACTTCATCAGATGTGTGTGAACACATCTGATGAAGTGAGCTGTGGCTCAGGAAAGCTCATGCTCAAATAAATTGGTTAGTCTCTAAGGTGCCACAAGTACTCCTTTTCTTTTTGCGAATACAGACTAACACGGCTGTTCCTCTGAAACATTTCTCTCCCTTGTGGGGGATGAAGGCTTGTCTGCTCTTTCTCTGCAGCTGAGGGAAAGGGACCTTTCCTAGTTCTACTCTGAACAGAAATCCTGTCTCCCTTTCCGGTCAGTGTTGGTTTCAGCTAGGAGGAGTTGAGTTAAACTGAGCGATTTCCTAGCTTTTCACAGAACATCCCCTTGTGTTTTAAGGCTGCCAAGGGGCAAAGTCTGCCGTCAACAGTGTACCTTCCAAAGGGGAGGAACAATTAGACACCAAGCAACACGACCCTGAAAAGAGCAGCACATCGATGTGCCACCACAATGGCAAGTGAACCAAAGGGAAGGGGGGTGGGGGTGGGGGAGTCGGAGACGAGCACAAAAAGAAACAGAGAAAGTCAACAGGAGACCTCACTGACCCACACACGCGCTGATCACACACAACGGGAAGGAAGCAACAGACTGAGGAACCTAAAGTCCATCTGAGGGGCGCTTAGTTAATAATTGACTAGGGGCGTAGTAGCATGAACAAACACAACGCAATTGAAATACTGAGGGGGTGGTGTGAGGGGCAGGCGGCCAGGGAACACTTTGTTGTTCCTTTTCGTGCCCAACTCTGTTGTTTCCAAACAGAATAATAACACCCCTCCCCGCACTCCACCCGCCCGCAGTCCCCGGCTGCCCTGCGCCTGGGGGGCGTAGGGGGGGGTGGGGTGGGAGGCTGCTGCGCGCTTCCTCAGAGAGTGGTAATCCTGGAGGTGCAAGTGCCGTTCCTGTACATGCTCCCCGACTCCAAGTTGTCGGGGGGAAAGTCCTCCACGCTGTAAGCCCTGCTCTTCAGGGCGGTGGCGTAGTAATCGACGGGCTCCTCCGTGGCGTTGTCCATCCAGCTGAGGCACAAGAGCCGCTGGAAGGACCTCTTGAAGTTGTCCGAGAGGAAGCCGTAGAGGATGGGGTTGGCGCAGCTGTTGGCGTAGCCCAGGATGACGGAGAGCTGGCTGATGGTGGCGTCGTCCTGCTCCACGAAGACGTTGACCAGCTGCACGATGTAGAAGGGCATCCAGCAGATGACGAAGACCATCACCACCATCATGACCATGAGGGTGATCTTCCGCTCGGAGCGCTTGCGCTGCTGCCAGCCGGCCTTGAGCGCCACCATGCGCATCTTGGCGATGATGAGGATGTAGCAGAGGCAGATGGCCACCACGGGCAGCAGGAAGCCCATCAGGAAGGTGTAGACCACGAAGACCACCAGCCACCGCTGGGTGGGCTCGGGCATGAGCATGTTGCAGGCCACCGTGCCGTCGCTGTTGGGCGCCGTGCTGGAGAAGATGATGATGGGCAGGATGATGAGGATGGAGAGCACCCAGACGCCCAGGTTGACCATCTTGGCCACGCTGGGCCGGCGGTAGCGGGCCGCCTTGATGGGGTGCACCACGGCGATGTAGCGGTCCACGCTGAGCACCGTCAGGCAGTAGATGCTGGTGAACATGTTGATGGCGTCCACGCTGAGCACCAGGCGGCAGAGCAGCGAGCCGAAGGGCCAGTGGCGCAGCAGGGTGGAGGTGACCAGGAAGGGCACGCTGAGCATCAGCAGCTCGTCGGCGATGGCCAGGTTGAGGATGTAGATGTTGGTGGCCGTCTTCATCTTGGCGTAGCGCAGGATCACGTAGATGACCATGGAGTTGCCGCACAGCCCCACCAGGCACACCACGGAGTAGATGAAGGAGATGAGGATGGCGCTGCCCTGCGAGTCGCTCAGGGTGCCGTTCGGGGCGCCGGAGGAGTTCCTGCCGCCCGCCTCCATGCCCCCCGCCGCTGCCTGCCCCAGGACCCCGCCGGCGCTGCCGCTGCTACAGCAGCTCCCTCCGCTCGCGCCGCCGCTGCTGCCGCTGCCGCTGCCGCCACCTGCACCGCCCGGGAGCCTGGGGCAGGTGCCATTGGGGAGCATCCTCAGCCCAGCCCTCCCCGCCCGCGGGCTCACAGCGGCCGGCGCTGGGCGCCCGCCCGGCTCGGCACCCTGGCGGAGCCGCAGCGTTGTCTCCCGCCCGAGGCTGGCATGAGGAGGGAGGAGGCTGCCGCCGCCGCCGCCGCCGAGCCGAGCGGCGTTAATTGCCGCTCTCCGGCTGGTGAATGATTAATAGGCAGCGGCGCGTCAGCAGCGACGAGAAGGAGGAGGGGAAACCCCCCCACCAGGAGGCGACGCAGGTGGGTGTCCTTCCCGCCGGCCCCGAGCGCTCGGCGGAGCGTCAGGAGTCAGCCCCCTCCCCGGCCCCGCATTGCTCAGCTCCCGCCCGCGGCCACCTGCCTGGCAGCCGCCGCCGGCCGTCCCGGCGTGCACCGGCCGCTCCCGAGGCCGCTGTGGCACCAGCCCGGCTCGTAGGCGCACAGAGACCCCCCCCGCAGCCAGGAGCCAGCCTCAGCTCCCCGCCACAGCCCATCCTCTGGCGACACACAGTGCCACCGCCACGGACACACACCACACACACACACACCCTGCCCCCGGGCACAGCACCACAAAACACGCCCTGCCCCTACACACAGTGACACCACACACACACACTCTGCCCCTGGGCACAGCACCACAAAACACGCCCTGCCCCTACACACAGTGACACCACACACACACACACACCCTGCCCCTGGGCACAGCACCACAAAACACGCCCTGCCCCTACACACAGTGACACCACACACACACACACACCCTGTCCCCAGGCACAGCACCACAAAACACACCCTGCCCCTACACACAGTGCCACCACACACACACACACCCCTGCCCCCGGGCACAGCACCACAAAACACGCCCTGCCCCTACACACAGTGACACCACACACACACACTCTGCCCCTGGGCACAGCACCACAAAACACGCCCTCCCCCTACACACAGTGACACCACACACACACACTCTGCCCCTGGGCACAGCACCACAAAACACGCCCTGCCCCTACACACAGTGACACCACACACACACACACACCCTGCCCCTGGGCACAGCACCACAAAACACGCCCTGCCCCTACACACAGTGACACCACACACACACACTCTGCCCCTGGGCACAGCACCACAAAACACGCCCTGCCCCTACACACAGTGACACCACACACACACACACACACACCCTGCCCCTGGGCACAGCACCAGAAAACACACCCTGCTCCTACACACAGTGCCACCGCCACACACACACACACACCCTGTCCCCAGGCACAGCACCACAAAACACACCCTGCCCCTACGCACAGTGCCACCACACACACACACACACACCCTGTCCCCAGGCACAGCACCACAAAACACACCCTGCCCCTACACACAGTGACACCGCCCTGCCCCTACACACAGTGACACCACACACACACCCTGTCCCCAGGCACAGCACCACAAAACACACCCTGCCCCTACACACAGTGCCACCACACACACACACACACACCCTGTCCCCAGGCACAGCACCACAAAACACACCCTGCCCCTACACACAGTGACACCGCCACACACACACACACCCTGCCCCTGGGCACAGCACCAGAAAACACACCCTGCCCCTACACACAGTGTCACTGCCACACACACACACACCCTGTCCCCAGGCACAGCACCACAAAACACACCCTGCCCCTACACACAGTGACACCGCCACACATACACACACCCTGTCCCCAGGCACAGCACCACAAAACACACCCTGCCCCTACACACAGTGACACCGCCACACACACACACACCCTGTTCCCAGGCACAGCACCACAAAACACACCCTGCCCCTACACACAGTGTCACTGCCACACACACACACACCCTGTCCCCAGGCACAGCACCACAAAACACACCCTGCCCCTACACACAGTGTCACTGCCACACACACACACACCCTGCCCCTGGGCACAGCACCACAAAACACGCCCTGCCCCTACACACAGTCACACCACACACACACACACACCCTGCCCCTGGGCACAGCACCACAAAACACGCCCTGCCCCTACACACAGTGACACCACACACACACACACACCCTGCCCCTGGGCACAGCACCACGAAACACACCCTGCCCTTACACACAGTGACACCACACACACACACACCCTGCCCCTGGGCACAGCACCACAAAACACACCCTGCTCCTACACACAGTGACACCGCCACAAACACACGCCCCCTGCCCCTGGGCACAGCACCGCAGTACACACCCTGCCCCTACACACAGTGTCACCGTCACTCACACACACACCCTGCCCCTGGGCACAGCACCACAAAACACACCCTGCCCCTACACACAGTGACACCACACACACACACACACACCCTGTCCCCAGGCACAGCACCACAAAACACACCCTGCCCCTACACACAGTGACACCACACACACACACACACCCTGCCCCTGGGCACAGCACCACAAAGCACACCCTGCCCCTACACACAGTGTCACTGCCACACACACACACACCCTGTCCCCAGGCACAGCACCACAAAACACACCCTGCCCCTACACACAGTGCCACCACACACACACACACACACCCTGTCCCCAGGCACAGCACCACAAAACACACCCTGCCCCTACACACAGTGACACCGCCACACACACACACACACACATCCTGTCCCCAGGCACAGCACCGCCGTACACTCCCTGCCCCTACACACAGTGCCACTGCCACACACACCCTGCCTCTAGACACAGCACCACCATACACACCCTGCCTGCCCCCTCACACAGTGCAACCAACACCTCCACACACACACACCTTACCTCAAAGCACAGCGCCTCGATACACATTCTGCCTGCCCCTAGGCACAGTGCCACCACACACACACACACTGTCTCCACATAGCAACACCAGCACCTCCACACACACACACACATCTGGCCCTACACACTGCACCACCTCCACACACCTACCTTGCCTCTACACACAGTGCCACCAGCACATCCACACACACCCTTCCCTTACACACAGCACCACCATCACACACGCACACCCTGCCCCTACATGTAGCACCTCTACTACATGCCAACACATACCCATTCTATTACCTGTACACACACACACACACACACATGCCCCAGTATACATCACCAGCTACCCTTTCTATCACCACTAGACATGACACAACACCACTACACATACACATCATTACATACCCACTACACAAACACACACAACCTACCACAACTACACAAACACACACCATTTACCAACCATTCTATTGACACCTCACATACCACCACATACCCTCCATACTACCACTACACACACATTGCCACCACTTACATAGACACACATAGATTACTGCCACCTACCAGAACCACCTCAGAGATGCAAACACAATACTCATCACCACACAAATGCACACCCCCACACTACCATCTACCTTCCTTGCATGCATATTATCAGCACCTACCTATTCCAACACACAAACTATGTTTATACACGTTCAGTCACTCCAACAAACACACCACCACCACAATGAACTCCAGTACATACACATCATCATCGTCTGCCCTCTCCAACACGCACACACACACACACACACACACACACACTACTCTGGCAAGCATTTTCCTTTCATAACTGAGAAGTAGTTCATAGTGATTTTATATATATATATATATATAACGATGCTATGGTAAAAATCTCTTTCTGTTGGACAACAATGTTGTCTCTAATTGTACATGATTTCTGCATGTGCACCATAGTCTCTGTGACTATTGGGAATTGTGTGGGTTTATTTTCTTCATTTTGATTTCTGTTCCAATACAATAATGAATTTAGTGAGCAGGATTTGCAAATGATCTTAATATTCATAGGCTATTGCTGTACATGAGCGTTTTAGCTTAATGCTGCAACATTTGTGGACGTCATTTGATGGTTTAACAGAGACTTATTCTTTTCCATTTGGATTTTGGAGATCATATATTATTTGGGACAACATGTTGGCATTGGGACACCTAGATTACCAGGAAAGAGGTTCATATTTGTACAACATTCTTCAAAATCATTACTCACAATGTACTGAATGGCACTGTTCAAAAATCTAGTATTATATAAGTTCAACTGAAGAAGTGATTTGCATTAAAATCTGTTCCGGGAGAACACAAACCAATTTTCCATCACTGATAAGCACTGGGGTTTGAGTAAATAATTGCAAGCCCATCAAAAAGAACATCTGGTTGCTTGAGACCATTTAGTCTATTAGAAATCTATCATTCATATATCATCCAGTTTTTCATTTAAATGAGAACTTATTTTTGCACACAGGAGCATCTATTTATTATGAGGTATTGGTTAAGGGGTTTCTTTCTTTCTTATTGTTATAAGGTGGTATATGACAATATTTTGAATATAAATGTTAGCTCTTTTTGATTGAAAATGGCAGTAAAGAGGATCAGCTCTGAAGCTGCTGCTGCAATAATAAAACTGCCATCACCACCATGTTTTCACAGCATGTTCCTCTATCCTCCGACCCCCCCCTCCAAAAGACACTCTTACACCTAGAAGTTTCCTTCATATTTCATGAGAACTTTCTCTTTCACCTGATGCTTCCTTTTGCACAACTTCCTTCTGCACCTCATGAAACACTGAACCAGTCTATATGATGTGAAAGAGAATGTTTTTGAAACTGTTCATATATCCTATTAGCCACTTTTAAAATCTGAAATGATTGATGAGCAGCATTGAATGATGTTAATGGAAGCACTTCCTTTGATTTCAGTGTGTTTTGGATCAGGCCCTAAAAGAGGCCCTGACTTCAGTGGGTTTACGCCATGGGATGAAATTGGCCCATTCTGTTCAATTTCTGTAATTTAATTCCTTACAATTCTAACAGTTGGCCTGATCCTTCGTCCAGTGGGAGTTTTGCCTCTGACTTCCATGGAAATAGGTGTGGGCATAGTATGATCTATTTTCAAATGCAATAATTTGAAATATATTATCTCTAAATTGTAACTCCTGCAAGGATGCTAATTCCATTAAACTTCCTGTGCATTACCGGGTCTCAATGCATGCCCAGGAAAATTAAATGCTGGAGTAGTCATACTTGTGGTTGACTTGTGGCCATGTTTCTCATTTCTGAAGCCTCTATTGTTACTTTCAGGGTAGCACTGAAAGTACTAGGAAACAATCAATCAAACAAAAACAAGTACCTTGTACTGAGTTGCTTAATTAATTGAAACAAAGGTACTTTTCTAAACTGCTTAAAAAATAGGGTCTGATTCACTGCTCATCTCAGTTTTACCTTGGTGTATCTATTGGCTTCAGTGGAACTATTCCAGATTTACATTGATATGAGCAAGAGGAAAATGAAGGCCATAAATCTCTCCCCGAT